ATTTTCAGATGTCCAAGTTTGTTATGTCAAAGTTTGTAGACTGAGTTTTCTTATAGTGAACAAACTATTTATGATCTGGTTTTGACTGCAAGGCTGTACCATTGTTGCATTTGATGTGTAGTTCTTGCACGTGGCGGCATTATACTAATATAAATGGTAAAATTATATTTTCTTGTACGTTAAAATAACCCGTGTATTGTTGGTTTACTATTAGACTGTTAGTTTTTGATACTGCCGGTAAAAATAACAGTATCCTGTCAACTCTCCCGATTTACACGGCGTAGTGGTGGCGTCCCCTTTCTTCCAGTAGTTTTGAAGACCGTTTAAGCGGGCCACTACTCCATGGTATTATGGCACCTGCAATGCAGAGGCGCGAAACCACATCACCGTGCCGGGCCAGACATAAACCTCTTCAGTCACCTGCCAAAATGCTACTATCCGTATGCATGTATATACACAAAAAATAACTCTGGTATCAAGGGTTTCTTAACAAGCTGTTGATTTTCGATACCGCCTGTTAAAAAGGCAATCTCCTGTTTGCTGTCCGGATTTAGACCACTGAAGAGAGAAGACGGTTCGATTACACAGTGTAAATTCGAAGATTCGATGAAAGATTGTATAATCTTAGTTTCAGATTAAATTTTTTTCTTTCTACTTATAGAAACAGAATTTCATATCAATGTGAAGAAAGGAAAAACGATGGTCGCAGCCTAACGTTTGAAGGATAAAGATATCACCTGCATTTGAAATGATTGAATGCTGTATCATCCATTTAGTTGTCAGTTTAAATTTTTTGTCTGTCTGCTTGTTTATTATTTTGATTCAATTTTATTTTATTATTGAAGAAGTTATTGCTGCATTAAGCAAACTGTATTTAATGTTTCATGTCATAGATATGCTACCGAGACACTTACATGATGATCTTTCCAAAGTACATATCCACGTAGCCTAAACATGTTAGGAACATGTCATGGTCTTCGTGGCTGAAATTCTTCTGATACATGGTAGTGGAATGCAGATAAACGCAGTTACCATTATTTTCATTTAAGGAAGGGGAAAGTATAGTATGGATTTGTTGAGAGCCGGTTTAGCAATATTTCACTTATCAGTCTTTTGGGGTCAGACCGAAAATTTTGC